GGCAAATTGGCTAGAGGGTCATACCCAGAGAGTGGTGGTGGACGGGTCGGTACCGACCTGGAAGGACATGGGCAGTGGGATTGGTCCTTGGACCGATACTCTTCAATGTCTTCGTCAGTGACTTGGACAAGGGAGTGAAGTGTACTCTGTCCAAGTTTGTGGATGATACAAAACTGTGGGGAGAAGTGGACACACCGGAGGGCAGAGAACAACTACAGGCAGACCTGGACAGGTTGGACAAATGGGCAGAAAACAGTAGAATGCGATTTAACAAGGAGAAATGCAAAGTGCTGCACCTAGGGAGGAAAAATATCCAGCACACCTACTGCCTAGGAGATGACCTGCTTGGTAGCACGGAAGCGGAAAGGGATCTTGGAGTCCTAGTGGACTCCAAGATGAGCATGAGTTGTCAGTGTGACAAAGTCATCAGCAAAGCTAACTGCACTTTATCATGCATCAGCAGATGCATGACAAACAGAACCAAGGAGGTGATACTTCCCCTCTATCGGGCACTGGTCAGACTGCAGTTGGAGTATTGTGTGCAGTTTTGGGCGCCACACTTCAAGAGGGATGTGGATAACCTGGAGAGGGTCCAGAGAAGGGCCACTCGTATGGTTAAGGGCATGCAGGCCAAGCCCTACGAGGAGAGACTAGGGCACCCGGACCTCTTCAGCCTCTGCAAGAGAAGGTTGAGAGGCGACCTTGCAGCTGCCTATAAATTCATCATGGGGGCACAGAAGGGAATTGGTGAGGCTCTGCTCACCAAGGCACCCCTGGGGGTCACAAGAAATAATGGCCATAAGCTAGCAGATTTAGACTGGACATTAGGAAGAACTTCTTCACAGTTAGAGTGGCCAAAATCTGGAATGGGCTCCCAAGAGAGGTGGTGCTCTCCCCTACCCTGGGGGTCTTCAAGAGGAAGTTAGATAGGCATCTGGCTGGGGTCACCTGAACCCAGCACTCTTTCCTGCCTATGCAGGGGGTCGGACTCGATGATCTATTGAGGTCCCTTCAAACCCTAACATCTATGAATCTATGAAAATCAGTATTTCCTAGGTAATGCTGAAGTGGAGCAAGACTGTCAGTTGTTGTTAAACATTCTGCTGCGGGATGGAGATGCGGGTTTCAGTCCCTGCTCTCAGGACTAGCTCTATCTTTTATCCAATGACTGTCTGACATGCAGTGTATTATGTCTTGATTCACCCTCCTGAATTTTAACCACCTCAGGGACCAATCTGGGTTTTGTCCTGAGTGTCCACAGGCATGAAGGCCTTAACCTTCACAACACCCCTGCAAAACAAAGAAGCACTATCATCCCCATTTTGGAGATGAACTAAGACTGAGAGAGGCTAATGCCTTGGCCCACCAAGATATTTAGTCACTTAAATTCTCTTTAGGTGTTTAACTATCACTGGCATCAGTGGGGCTAATTAGTGTTGTGGATCTAGATCTAAATGATGGAGCCTATTGTAACTCTAGTCTATGAAGCCCCAGGCAACCCTCTGACAACTATTTCCCAGTTAAAATTCCAGATCCATTCCCCTTAGCAAACTAAAGTCAGATCCTTCCTCAGTGCCCAAGTGGAAGTGATTCTTATTGGGATGTATACCAATCATTTGACCCCAGCAGACTTCCTGCCCTTGGGGCAGGGGGCTGCACCCAATGATCTTGCAAGGTCCTTTCCAGCCCTAATGTCTATGAAATCCTATCTCACTTTTGCCTTATGATTTCCACCATCTCAGTGTTTCTTAGCTGCACAGGGCAGAGCCTTTCTGAGTGTTTCCATTGGTATCTCTAACCATAATGCAAGCAGGCAGTTAATTATCTTTAACACCCTATTTTAGAAGTGTTCCCTTTAAATTAGCAGCAGATGCTTTCATTTGGCAAAGTACTTAAACACATGCAGAAATGCCAGTGAAGTCTATAGGATTTAGGCTTGAGCTTAAGTGTTTTTCTGATTAGGAGTGAACTTTGTAAACATGCTTTAACTTAAGCACATGCTCAACACCTTGGTGAATCAGGGCTAAAACTACTATTGACTCCTATATTGTCACAGTCAGCCTCTACACTGGTTGTTACTAGATACATCAGTAGAGTATATAGCAACCAGACCAAGTTGCTCATCACATGTCAAGGGAACCCCTGAGAAGTCCTTATAGCACATACCATAGGAATGTGGTGATGCATGCTGTGAGTGTGTGACTCATTTCAGTCAGTGATGAGTAGTAAAGAAGAATATGAATGGTAACAATCTTTTTATTGTTTTATTCAGTGCTGCTTTTCTTCCATTTCCCTCCTTTCTCTCTGTTTCTTTTTGGGGCACGTTCTGGTACTTTGCAAACATCCACTCATTCTAATTCTCTGGGAGTTTTTGCAGGCTTCGCTTCATGTGACAGCTTGAAACAACAACAATAAAAAGGCAACTTAAAAGCTTTCCTTCTTGTTTTCCCTAGACTTTCTTCTCATCATCAGGACTACCCCTCTAGGAATGGTCTCCACCAAGTAGTTTGCTGTTCTTCCATGGTAAGATCTGGAAATAATTGACTTCCCCACATTTATTTCCATCATGTTGTGGGCTTTTCTCTGCAGCTCATGTTCCTAACTCAGAACAAGGCCTTTTTTTTTCTTGCACACTTCATTTATTCTGCTTATCCAGGATACACAGTTGCCAATAAAATATGAGAAAATTATTGTTTAAATACTTTCAAACCAGTACCATGTGTTTGAAAAATTTAAAAATGCTTTGAGTTCCTTAACTGCCTTCTTCAGCGCATGCGTCTCAAATAGCTTCAGCTCCAGGATCCTATCTAGCTTGATGTGTCATTGAAAACCTTTGATCAATGATAATCAGACCAGGGCTTGCGACCCATAAGCAACTCTTCAATATATTACCTGCAGTTCCTTGTAGAAAAGGTGATCAAAGTTTATTTCTTCCCTCCATTCATTGAACATGTCTTTCCTTCCATTTGTGAATAATGCAATGAATACAAGTACAGACTATAGGGTTTGTCCCATTGCCTTAAGGGCATGTGCAGTGTTGTGGCTCTTTGAGTAAGACTGACCCTTCCTGCGGCCAGGCAGGACTGAGTGCCACTGCTTTAAATGCTGTGGAATCTGGATGATCTGAACCTCCCTTTCAAACAAACTACCAGCCTTTTCTGTGTTTGATGCCCTTTGTACTGCCTATATGCAGCATCCCTCTCTGGTACTGTCCTGTATAGTTCTAACCATATTGCTGATTAATGACAAATAATGAACACAGAAGCCAGCCAAACAGGTTGGCTAATCAGGCATTTACTCTTTTGGCATAGTTTACTAATCTAAATAAGATGAGATTTACTGGAATCTGTTTTCAGACATGTATCCCAACATTTTCTTTCACTGGCATAACAAGGGCTGATGTAGATCTTTGTTTTTAGTAGCAAACTGCCTTGAGCAAATGTACTTGTCACAGGAAAAGAGACTCGGATGTGTACAATTTTCTGCCTGTATCTAGCATTTGCATGTACTTCAAGGACAGGCAGTGTATATAAAGGTTATTTGTATGATGTATGAGGCAGAGAGAAGAGACACATACCTGTTCTGCGATCATAATGAAACAAGATAGTACCCAGACTGCTGCTGACAGATTTCTAGTTCACAAACAATGTGACTAGTATGTATTCACCTACCATTGTCTTAAGGTTAATACATTTTCTAGGCCAAACCGTATCTTTCTGGGAGTGTGGTTCATCAAGAGACATTTCTACTGATGACTGACTGAAACAAGGTAATACTA